AAAAATCAATGTGTACTATATGCAAGTTGCAGTCAAGCAAAATGTAATCCACTATTCTGTGCAATTTACATGAACTTATAAAATCATTTTCAGATTCTATATATATATGGAAAGATTTATTAACTACCTTATTGTTTTAATTCAGCGATGTATCTAACAAAGATACTCCAGTAGATTTTGGTTAAGAGAAACAGGCTAGTGAAAAAGAAATCTTTATCCATTAGAATTTGATGAACACATACACACACACACACACACACACACACACACACACACACACAGACTCACACACACATATGTCCAGATTCACTACAGCCAGTTATTTCTTGTCAAAATTCCACTGTTGGAATTCAGCATTTCAAATAAAATATTTGTAGGATTAATTTCAACAGACTGCTCGCTAAGCTCCTTTGGATCATCATTTCTATGGATTTTGATCTCCACTCATCCTGTGTCAGGTCAAGACACAGGTTTTATTTCGACCCTAAGACAGGCTAGCCTCAGGAAGACCTTCCTTGCTCCAGGAGTTGATATTGCCATGCTCCATCATCCACTATGTCCTACACAATTGTGTTTCAATTTCATACTTATTTTTGCCTATGATTGAGACGCTGGTACAGAACATATTCAATGTATCTCTAAATTTTCACGTTATGTCCACTGAATCATGTTCTACTTCAGTCAGTATTCACATTTGTTAAACAAGGTTAAAAGCACTCCATGGCACAGACTATTTAAGAGATGGAAACAGCCTTCTTTTTCTCTGGAAACCCAGTCATGTGTATTACGTATGTCCATGTGCAGATGTTCTGGAAACTTGAAATTTAATTCCTACCTTAGAAATGCTTCTTTCTGTATTCAGATCATGACTTCACACTTTGCTTCCAAAACATTCAGTAAATGCAGAGTAATCACGTCTATCTGAATCAAAAGAAGAATGAGGATTGAGGGAAAAAATACTTTTCTATATAGAAATAGCAGATGGGCCTGTAGACTACACATGCAACAATGAAGTCAATATAAAGATTGTCAAGACATGGACCTGCAGGAGAATTTTCTAAATGGGTGCCATTTTCCATGAAAATGATATTGCAGCTGGAACAGGACAGGGTTCTGAGGTTACAACTGCCAGGCAAGCACCATGGCAGACATCTGAAGGAATCAGGTGGAAGCCAGTTCACAGGTCAGGTCACAGACTTCACATATTTATAAGGAGACTCCAACTTCATCAGATATAATCTAGTCTGTCTCCATCTCAGAACACCTTATCCCACACTTGCATTTCTAGCCTCTATGTTGTTTCCTTGTGTATTTGATTCCTGCTCTCTGAGGAAATCCTCCAGCAACCAGGTTCCAATACTAGGGTTTTTGTCAACCAGTGACCATGGGTCCAAAACATGGTAGCAAAGATATAAAGGAAGACTCCGTATAATGAATTGCCCTCATCTCCCTTGTCCTCTTTTCAGTTGACAATGCACACAGCCTTCCTTCATCACCCAATAGCTGGTGATGAAAGACCAAATATTTGAGACTGAAAGGACAGAGAAAGTGATCCAAAACCTATACTGATGAGCAAGTTGACAGGTGCCTTTCCTGGATTACATATGGGCTACTGCAGTGCTCCACAAGGGCATTAGTACATTCAAAATGAGGTTTCTCTTGTATATACAGAGCAGGTATTGACTATTTTTTGCAAGTTTACTCCTACATGCAGTAAGTAAGGTGGAAACTGTACTCCAGTGAATTCAGATTATGTAGTCTGGAAATGACTCCTAAACTGGGCGGGGGGGGGGGTGAGAACAGGCTGGATGTACTAGAGTGTGAGATGAGGCCAATCATTTTACTGCCTTATGATAAAACAAGGCCTATTTTAACTTTTCAGGACAGATGTTGGAATGCAGGACATTTATACAGACCTATCTCTTCAGCAATATTTTTCATTTGCAGACATGTTTTCACTATGTTTCCAAGTTACCAAGCCTGTCTTTAAATTGCAAAGTTGAAAACCTCTTGCCTCAGGTTCCCAGATGGCTTAAATCAAATGAAATCACCAACTTTCCTATGTCTGAAACATTTTATTAAAAAAATAATAAAACATTAAAATTACAAAATATAATTATGAACTACATTGTAGTAATTCATCAGCAATATTCTATATCAAGATCAAGTGTGCAGAAATCCCAAATGCCTCAATGTATATTAAAATATTGGTGAGTAATATTTTTCACACATGGAAACTTACACAAATAACATTTTATATATACTTAAAATTTTAGAATATATTGAAAAATGTACACAAGTAAATAACTAAATCGTACTAAACACAGTAATTAGCATAATAACCACAGTATAATCAGAATCTTGTGAATGTGTTCTCTTTCTCTTCATATCTCATACTGCCTTGCACTTAACCTTCTTGTCAGTTTGTGACATCACGTGATGGCTCTCAAATTATGCAACATGAGATAAATGATGACTCCATGTGACATCAGATTTATTTATGCTACTGAGAACGAAACATGACTTAGACTTTCTCAACATTTATTTCTGAGTTTTATTTTAATATCATAAGGTGCTGCTGAAATGCCACTGTGGATCATGTGCCTAAATGGGTACTACGAGAGTTTAGCAGTGCCATGTCCCCAAAGACTGTACAGAGAGCAGCAAAAGTGGTGTATTATTATCCTGCATGAAATTTATTGCTAGAAATATAATGCTACAACCTGGGCATGAAGGTGTATGCTTGTAATCTCAGGACTTGGAAGGCTAACACAAGAGGATTGCTGGATGTTCAAGATCAGCCTGGACTACAAATGGAGCCCAAGGTTAGCCTGAACTACAAAGTGAGCTCATGACCAGCCTGGCCTACAAAGTGAGCCCAAAATCAGCCTGAACTTCATAGCACGATTGTTTCAGACAAAACAAAACTAATGGTACAAGTCTCATGCATTGAATTCACGCACTTGTAGTTGTTACCTTATTTATTGCACACTGGTGATTCTTTCTTTCTGGTGTCATGATTTAAACATCACTTCCATCACTCACTAGTGCTATTCTGGCAATCATATTCCATACATTTTCTTTGAACCCTAGGAACTTATGTGAAATCATGATTCACTTGCATACTCAGGATATTACTATTTATAAATGACTGCCTTAATCTTAGAAGGATGGTGCTTACATTTGTAGAAAAGTACATGATGTGTAATAGGCAGTAGGAGCATACTTCCTTCAAAATAGAGATGATCAAGAAAGAGAAAAAACATAAATTGGTCATGTTAAGGCAACAATAATGAACTCACACCTATTAAACCCACTGATGCCTTCCAAAGATGAACACTTACATTGTGAACTAAAAATAGGACCTAATGCATTTATACATATTTTAAATTTTCTTTTGTGTTTGTGATTATCTTATCATAAACATACATACATAGTTGCATGTCATGAGCTGTTGTGAAGGACACTGCTAATGTGTTTGTGAAGATCCTTCTACAAGAAATAATTGTTACACATCCAACTGGAAAAGAGTGGAAAAATAGGTGTCATCTATGCAGATGTTGGTGGATCAAAAATGTCGGGGAAATTCTTCAGAATCCTTGAATTATCTTTAAAAACTATATTTTCAATAGTAAGCCTACAAATAGTTTAGCTAGTTACATGTGATACTGAAGCATAAAATAAATGTGCTTTGGATTATCTCCATCATCAAGTGTGATCGCTGGAAATTCTATAAAAATATATTCACATCAATTTTTTTGGTATTTCTACAGATCTTGACTACAAGAGTAATTTGCAAAGTATTTTCAAAATAGTCACTTACATATGTCAAATTTTTTTCATAGTGCTGACTTTCATGTATTTGACCATACGCAGGAATACTGAGTGCTTTCTCAGACAGCATACAGAAGCATAATGTTGGAGGTTAGCATCTCTGTCAATGGAAAATTTTACTCAATACATTTTTCACAGCTATAACACAGTGTGTGAGAAATTTAGCATTTATACAATGAAAAATTTGCAAGAAATCCTTCTCACATTAACTACTTACCTGTAATGTTTCCCTGTTTGCATTATTTCATTATTTGATGGCATTATTGTGCACTGAATGCTTTTCTCCATTGTTGGAATGCATAGGGTTACTTCCTTATATGAACTCTTTCATGTCATTATAATCACTGGTGGTGTGCAAATTTGCTGCATTGCTTACATGCATACAGATTCTCCCCATTGTGAGTTCTTTCATGTGTTCATCAGGTACAAAACGAACGGAATGTTTTCCCAAGTTGCTTACCTACATAGGGTTTCTTGCCATTGTGGAATCTTTGATATATTTACAAGCTATGGGCTTGACTGATAGATTTCCCACACAGCTTACATACTTAAGTTTTTTCTCTGTGTGGGATCTTCTAGTTCTAGAAAATGTGGATTATCAGCAGAGCTTTTAAATTATGACTTATATAAGTTTTCTCTCAAGTGTGAATTATTTTATGGATGAGATTACAATATTGATTGAGAGATTTTCCACATTATGCACCTACATAGTCTTTCTCCCTACTGAGATTTCTATCATGTTTTTTTATATTGTATACTGAACATGTTTCTAAATGTCTTGCATGATAAGATTTTTCCCTAATTTGATTTCATTCTTGTTTCTGACAGTGAATGTGTCTGTCTTTTCATTTGTGATGGTATATCTTAAGATTAGGATGTCTACATGTATACAGGCCATGAACACAAGCACAATTTTGAATAGGAATGTATAGACACTTCTTGGTAAACTGATACAAGAGTTACAGATTCTGATGGGAAAAACTGTCATGAGAAAATTAGGTGTCACCCATCAAAACAAGACATTGGTGGATCAAAACATGGAAAAATGATATAGCATACTTAAATTTTCATTAAAAAGTGCAACATTTTTATTAAGACTACATACAGATAAAATATTTATTAAAAAAGACAAAAATATTTTAGGATAATTCTGTTTCAGGTTGTCTTCAAAAATGTATGAGCATATATTGACAGAAATTATTTTATAATATTTTGGCAGGTCTCCTCTACATGACTAATTTTGAAATTATTTTCAAAATAGTCCCTTACATATGTATGATTTCACTTAACTCAGATTACTTTCACACTTTTGACAATAAACCTGTATACTGAATACTTTCCCACATTGCATACATAATCTTGGGACATAGTATGACATCACTCAGAGGTTAGCAGCTATCACCTGAACTTTTACCAAATCTTCCTTACATGCAGTTACTCCCCATTGTGAGAGGAATCTTATGTTTTCAAAAGGGAAGCACTGCAGCAAATCTTTGCCACACTGCCTACATATATATGATATCTTCCTTGTATGCAAAATTTCCCTATGGCATTTTTGTGTGCTACATATGATCTACCATTGTTCAATTGCATAGAATTACTACACTGAGGGAGTTCTTAAATGTAGTGACAACCTCAATGGTATGGAAAGTCTTTCTATATTCCTTATGTTCATAGGATTTTTTCCCAGTGTGATATATTTGATGTTATAAAGTGAGAATGTATAAACAAATCCATTTACTCATTTCTCATATAGATAGAGATATTTTTATAGAGTGAATTTTTTTTTCTATACAAAAAAGCTACAATAATAGCTAAAATACATCACAAATTACTTACATCAATGGAAAGGGTTCATTTTCAGCACTTCTGTACACTGAATGTTTTGATATATTGGTTGTACCATAGATGTTCTATAGGGTGTGAGTTCTTTCATGAGTAATAAGGTGACTGCTTTGACAGAAAGATTTCCCACATTGCTTACATACAAAGGGTTTCTCCCCAGTGTGTATTCTATAATGTGATTTACAAGCAGAGGATGTACTGAATGCTTTCCCACATTTGTTGCATGCAAAGGGTTTCTCCCCAGTGTGAATTCTTTCATGTTTAATAAGGTCACTGTTTTGACTGAAAGATTTCCCGCATTGTTTACATGCAAAGGGTTTCTCCCCAGTGTGAATTCTATCATGTGCTTTACAAGCATAGGCTGTACTGAATGCTTTCCCACATTTATTGCATGCAAAGGGTTTCTCCCCAGTGTGAATTCTTTCATGTTTAATAAGGTCACTGTTTTGATTGAAAGATTTCCCACATTGTTTACATGCAAAGGGTTTCTCCCCAGTGTGAATTCTATCATGTGCTTTACAAGCATAGGCTGTACTGAATGCTTTCCCACATTTGTTGCATACATAGGGTTTATCACCTGTGTGAATTCTATCATGTCTAATAAAGTTAGTCTTTTTATTGAAAGATTTCCCACAATGCTTACATACAAAGGGTTTCTCCCCAGTGTGAATTCTTTCATGTTTAATAAGGTCACTGTTTTGACTGAAAAATTTCCCGCATTGTTTACATGCAAAGGGTTTCTCCCCAGTGTGAATTCTATCATGTGCTTTACAAGCAGAGGATGTACTGAATGCTTTCCCGCATTTGTTGCATGCAAAGGGTTTCTCCCCAGTGTGAATTCTTTCATGTTTAATAAGGTCACTGTTTTGATTGAAAGATTTCCCACATTTGTTGCATGCAAAGGGTTTCTCCCCAGTGTGAATTCTTTCATGTTTAATAAGGTTACTTCTTTGACAGAAAGATTTCCCACATTGTTTACAGGCAAATGGTTTCTCCCCAGAGTGCATTCTATCATGTGCTTTACAAGCAGAGGATGTACTGAATGCTTTCCCGCATTTGTTGCATACATAGGGTTTATCCCCTGTGTGAATTCTTTCATGTCTAAGAAGGTTAGACTTTTGATTGAAAGATTTCCCACATTGCTTACATACAAAGGATTTCTCCCCAGTGTGAATTCTATCATGTACTTTACAAGCAGAGGCCGTACTGAATGCTTTCCCACATTTGTTGCATGCAAAGGATTTCTCCCCAGTGTGAATGTTTTTATTACTGTGACAGCCACTGAGTTTACTGAATGCTGTCCCACATTGCTTGCATTCATATGGTTGCTTTCCAGTGTGAAGTTTCTTATGTTTTTTAAAGAAATTACTGTGAGATAATGCTTTTGCACATTTTTCAATTATATGATATTTCTCTCTATCATATTTTCTAACAGGTTTTTCAATATTGGATGAAGAAATAGAATTATTCTCATAGTGTTTTTGTACATAGGAGTTTCCCAAATTGCGGTTTGTCTTGGGGGTTTGAACACTGTTAGGTGTTGTGTGGGCTTTCACACTTTTGTTACCTACAAAAATTTTCTGCCCAGAGTGAATTTTTTCACTAAGATCAGATCTTTCCTCCACATTTTTTCCGTATTCGCTGGGTCTCTCTACAGTGTTACTCATTTCATGCTTCTGAAAGGACTGGAAATCACTGCAGATCTCTACATCTTCATTACATTTATATGGCTGCCCTTCAATTCTCAAATAATTGTCTTCATCACATCTGTGCAGAAATAAAAAAGATATCAATCACAATGGAAAAAGCTCCACATTAGCAATATTTTTTATGATGACAAATTTAGTTTGATTCCTGCTAAGTAATTCTGATGGTTAACTGACTCACTGCACTGCAGGACTGCTTTCAAAATACTATCCATTCTAAAAATTGTTACTTTTTTTTTTTTTGTACCAGGGATTGAACTCACAACTGCATGCTTGCAAGGCAGGCACTTATGCCCCAAGATAAATCCTCTTCTCCATTTAGGCAATTTTAAATTGTTATGTGATTCTAATACTTAATATCATTTTAGGAGACTGGTACAAATGAATAGCAAACATTGATCATTTTTTGTAGCTCTTTGTGTCTTAACTCCCCTTTGTCTATTTAGCCTGATCATCTTTCTCATCTACAGAACATAAGGATTTCTGGTCATATATTCTCTCTCTTTACTTTCACTTCTCAAATAAGTTTTTAATTTCTCATTTAAGAAAAAATCTGAGTTGTGGCTAGGGATTTAGCTCAGCAGCATAAGCACCAGCCTGGCAAGCATGAGATTGTGAGTTCATTCCTCAGTACCGAGAGAGAGAGAGAGAGAGAGAGAGAGAGAGAGAGAGAGAGAGAGAAGAAAACATGTAATATTTCCATTTGTATGTCTGAATTATTTCACTTAAGGTTCAATACTTCTTGTTTCTTGGGAAATGATATCATGGTTCCCCAGATAGCTTTTTTTTCAACGTGGAGTTAAAAACAGGTCATAAAATGAACTACATTTGCTGATCTATTATTTGTTTTGTTGAGAGAGATTTTTATTGGCCATCAACTTGTCCAAGCTGAACTTCAAGTTATCATCCTGCATATTCAGCTTCCCCAGCTGCTTGGGTATTGCAGAAATGCACCACAATGTTGAGCTGACTCCAAATTTTCTTTACCTTGTCATGCAGTGATGGGCATCTGGGCTCTTCTCAATGCTTAGCTACTGTGAGTTGATTCTTGTATTAGATATTGTAAATGCCCTTTCATGTGCTTTAACAAACAACACACTCATGGTTCACTAACATTTGATGATTTTAATGTATTTGACAATATACTGAGAGAATCATTACACATAATGACAAAGTATGGCCCATTCAATATTCAGGAGGTAGAGGCAGGAGGATTGCTCTGAGTTTCAGGCCATTATGGCCTTCACAGTAAGTTCAAAGTCAACCTGAACTACAATATAAAATCATGGCTCAAAAGATTTAAAAAAGGATATCATTGTGGATGTACATGTGAAACAATATGAAACATGTTGTTTTAATTTTAAGACCACTGAATAGTTTTTACCATGTTTGTATTTTATTTATCCATCAACAATGTATGAGGAATTTTAAACCTTAACAGCTCAATATTTTATGGGATATTTTCATAATACTTATTGTAATAGTAGAATTCATTTTCATTTTGAAAGCTGATGCTATGTGAATATAATTCTAGATCATGAAAGTCTCAGTATTCACATGTATATATAAATGGTATTGTGAAGGTGGGTTTTTATCAACTTTCACAATTTGTTCATTTCCTACATATCAAAATACAATATTTAAATTTATTATCATACATTTCTATGATGTTGATCACGAAGGCAATTTTTAAACTGATACATTAGATAGTGTTATTTACTACATGTATTAGAAATACCTCTGATTCTTATATTTCAATATGTTTCTATGGATTCCCAGATAATACAAAATAAAATCAAGTATATCTCTTGGTATTTTTTGAGGTTAAATAAGGTATAACATGATCTCATTTCTTCAGGTTCCTTTGTTTTAATATTTATGCTCACACACTGACAATTAAGTAATGTTCTCTTTCTCTTATGTGTTTCAGTCACCTTATATTACTTGAGCAATTTTTGTCCTCTTCCTTAATTTGCTGATTATTCCATATTTTTCCTGTAATATGGACATAGAAATAAAATACACTTACTATAACTGTACATTAAAACATCTCTGATTTGATTTATACTCATAGTATAGTATAATCAGACTTGAGATATACAAGCAAATGTTATTATTATCAAATATATTAAACTGTATCAATGAGCAATAATTAATGCTGTTAGTATAAACAAACGTATCATCCTTACCTGTTGCAGTAATATTCATATATGTTTCCCACATCACTCCTCTGTAGAGCTTCTTTTGGGATGGAGTCAGCAAATCCCACTCTTCTGGAGTGAACTTCACAGCTACATCCTCAAAGGTAACTGTCTCCTAAATAATGACAAGGGTCCTGAAGTTCAGGCATACATAACCTGATATACCTCAGTTCCTGTAATAAGTAGTCTAACTGAAATTCATTCTTTCAAGTATTAACTGCATGTCATGGTCATCAAAACTCAAGTACATTCAAGTATAGTCACCCAGTAACACTGATGCTAGACTATGACATGCTGCTAAAGCAATCACAGAACTGTACCATGGTTTGTCTCACAGGGCCACCAATAGTGTAGTTTTTCAGTTACTTTAAAGCAGAGCTCAAAGAGTTAGCATGCAAACCACCATTCACAAAATATTGGTTATTTATAACACGGAGTTTGTCTTTCTTATCAACAGCATCATGGTCTTGAATCTAGATTTATAGATAAATATTTATTTGAATATGAAAAGAGATTTCTGAGTGATTAAAATTTAATGACAGAAAGGTTTTATTTGACCATTCTATAGACAAGAAAATAAGGGAAAATGTAGTTATAAATCTATAGCTCAGGGATACTAAATTATCTCCTTGTACTTATATACTGGAAATTCCACTAGGGTGCAAAGGAAGATAATGTGGGGAAAAAACCATATATGAAATGCTTGAACTAGAGTGAAAATTGCGGAATAGCAAAGTAACTGCTCACTAAATACAGAAGGAAGAGTTCAGTACAGTGGAATAGTATATGCTTGTACTCTCAGAACTTGAAATCATGATGTAAGAGGATTACCAGAAATTTCATGCTTGCCATGCATACAGTGTCCACCCTGGGCTATGTAACAAGGACAGTTCAGACTACAAAGTGAGGCCATTCATTAAACCCTGTACCAAATGAAAATTAAAATTAATTCACAGTCATTGACAAATCACAACTTTGCACCCAGGATATATCTCAATGGTACAAGCACCTATATGACATTTGCAAGGGCCTGAATACAATTTCCAGTACTAAAAAGATAATTCAAGTGCACCTTTGATTAGTAACAACAACTGTACATGTATGTTAGAGAAAAAAAAAAACCTGCAAACATTGAATATTTGTGGGCAAGGAAACTTTTTGCATAATAAACAGGAAAACATTTGACATTCAACATTCATATCAGTGGACAAATGGATCTCAGGAAAGGAAAACAACCTTCAATTCATTTACATGGAATATTATGTCACAACTCAGCTGGCATTGTGCTTCTAAGCAAGAAAGCACAATATGTTTCATTTACATTCAGAAAGAAACAGGTATGTCAATAGAAATCTGGCCTGCACACGATCCTTGCCTATGTGCATTGGCGAACAATTGAAATGGGAAAGAGAAACATGAATTACTGTGAAATTTATACTGAAAAATAGTTAGTGCAAAACTCTTCTGAAGAAAATCAAGCAGCCATGAAAATTAGAAGTTGAAATCTATGAAAATTGGAATTAAACAAGAAAACATTTATTGAGAACACAATACAAAGATTTTACATAGAGTTAAGATCAATAAACACAAATCTAAAAATAAACAAAATTTATGTTTTGTTTATGCAGAAATAATGAACAGAAAAGAAAATCTAAATCACATTTGTGAAAATAACCAAACAATATTCAAGTGTGGAAGAAAAAATAATTAGATTTATTCTTAAATTCCGCAAAATCCTTTTCTATGGAGTTTATGAAAATCTACACACAAGTGAATTCTTTCTAACGACTACAAAATATTTTGTTCTATGATTCCTTGAAATACACGTGATTCTTTTCAAGTGAAATTACAGAATCAGAAACTGTGACCAAGAGAATAAATGAGAATGTACTTTGGTTTTGATTCACCTATCAGCCCTTGTGAATGACTGTGAGAAATGATTGAATTGATAAATACCACAAAAATCTCACAATATATTTTTATGTGCAATTTCAATGGTAGTTTCTAAAAACTTAAAGGGAATAAGTTAAAAATATAATTTCCATAAAAGAGCACATTGTAAACTTTGGAATACTTCCAAAGAATTGTCATCAATTATGCAATAATACTTTCTGACCTGAATGTATTTTTCACACGGTTACCTTCATTTCTTGCTTAAGATCCTTTATTGAAACTTTCTGAATACACCTGTGACTCTTTCACTGTTCTCATTAAATCTATACACAAAAGCTTTGAGAAATAAGATTTTCTTTAAATGATTAAAACAATAAATTGCAATACAGGTACTAACTGATTTGTATGTGTTTATGTGTCTTGAGATATGAAATGACTGGACAGTTTCTATATTAGATAGTGTTAAACAAACTACAGTTACAAATATCAGTGTAAAAAATTCAGTGCTAACAGTTGTGAAATTTGAAGTTCACCAAAAGGAAAACAAGTCAGCCTATCAGAAGAGGAGACATTATCAGGAGAACAGGTCAGATTAAAAGGGACTGAGAACACAGGTGTCAGAGCTGATTAATAGCTAGACAACTAGGTAATCTGCAAATACTCTTATGATCCGGAGAGCAGTGTTTATTGTGTGCACACTGATAAGATAGGTTAAATAGTAAGCTATGCAAAAAGACATACCTCAATGCCATTGATTCAACAAAACATACGGACACTACATGAGCTTGATTATATTACACATGTACAATCAATGGTTATTTAGAAACAAATATCATTCCTTAATACATGGCCCATATAAAGAGCAATCAACTACATAAACAGAAACAGTATTGGAAGAGAAAAATCAATC